AAGAATATGAGCAAAAAAGTTGAGTGTCCACAAAGAATTGGCAGATCCGATGCTAATCAATAAATCAATACCTGAATCTTACAGCGTTCCACGATTCCGATAGCTGAGAAGACGGTAATCAGTGCCAAAGCTGTACAGAAGATGAGAAGCAGAATCGCATTACCTACACCAGGCCGTGCCCTAAATTAAGTAAAATTCAGAATCTAGGCATAAGTAGCACAGTGGCTTGAGGCGCTGCTATGAGCGCACACCGCTTGATTGGTTCGTGACTTTTCGATGGATACATCATGCTCGGATTGTCTTATTTGGTCACTGCTAAGAGACCATTGGTAATGGAGCCATATTTGTAAATCACCCTTGTTTTGTGCAATTCGTGCTGCTCGTATGGGCGGGGTCAGATCTGCGGTTTCACCTCCTTCAAAGCTCTTCCATAACAATGAATCACAACAGGAGGCCTGACTCCGCCCATAAAATCAGTGTAAACTTTCCATTATCTCTTGCACAAGAAACCGAGCTCAGTGTCGCATTTTTCCTCACTATTCTGTTTTTCATTTTCTCTTCAAGTGGTAGATCTGGATTTTCGGAATGGTTGTCTTCTACTATTACCACCAAGTCGCCTCTGAGATCACTCTATGATATAAACGAGCAAACTTGTGTGTCGGTGCCTATTCTTAGTATGCCTTTAAGTCCGTCAAATTCTTGGGAAGGGTGATGAGGAATGTGATGGGCGACCGCTAGCAAAACTGAAAACCAGTCAAGCACGATCTGCCGCTGGGGAAAATACTAGCAAAACACGACCCTATTTGGTATTTCTCCCTCTGACCGTATTCTTCTCCTCTCCCATCCTACTTACCATCTTCCTGAAGTTTTCCAACATCTACCAGTTTTCCGGTTTTTTTTTCTCGAAATCCCTCCTCTCCCAATTTTCCAAAGGGGGGGGGGTGAGGTGTACATGGTAACTCACACGGGCACACCGCACTCAGGGCAGGAGCAACCGAACAAAGTCAGCAACCAGAAAATTTTTTCGTAGGCAACTGCGACACCTCCTCGTCCAGCCAGGATACAGCATTAATGTGTGAAACACATGGGGGGTCGTATCTGGCCGCTGGGGAGGGGGCGTAGTTGGAAGAGAGGTCGTATGTGGCTTTGAGAGAAACGTGCCGCGTTGGAAAAGAATTTTTCCCGGTTGTTACCTTTTCGCGGTTTTTCCCGTTTCACATGTGCCATTTATCCCGTTTGCCCTCCTCCCCGCCCGACGGAAAATGGGTGAAAAACTGGTAGGTCCCCTAGGTGGGCGGTCGTACCGAGACCATTCCCGGAGGGATGACACCACCATTTCACACATCACGATGCTGTACCCTGCTTCCAGCTACCAAAAGGACTCCCCAGCTGGGA